GTGACTGTAGATCAACTCGAATCTTCGAACCGACGCATGCTTATCGTTCCACTTGCTACGTAGCCGGCTGGGTGTGGTTTGTCGCTTACGTATTGTCCCGATAGTTCATACACGCAATGTTCTTCCGGGAATTAAATGAACAATGACAGTGATCAGGTGGTGTGACGGTAGGTCTGATAAGTTTAATAATAAAGTGGTAAGTCATCTAAATTGTAGTCTGAGGAGGCCGAGATAATTGGGACAGTTTTAACAAAAGTAGCGGTGTAGTAGAGTGGGCAGTTACCTGAATCAAGTGCACAGAAAGTCAGGTCTCCGTCGAAATATTTTCTGAAGCCTTCCTATCAGCACCATAGTGCTAGTCATGAATGCCATTTTGTTGCTAACAGATAAGTGAAACTGTACAGAGTTTCCTTCCTCCACAGACCTGTGAGACAGCTTTTTCCTCCGTTTACTGGACGGTACTGCATGTTGGAGTAACTTCAAGAAACCCAAATCGTGTCACCTTTCTTCAAGTTCATTTTACGCTTTGATTGATTTCTTATTTTGCAAAAAGGACGTCTGTCTACGCTTTCAAAAGCTTCAGGATGGTTGTGGATGGCAGTCTTGAAATAGAAGTATCTTCCTTCAACTTAAAGCGAAATACTTCTGAAGTACCTGATTTCACGCAGCTGCCTCAGAAATTGTCCTTTACTACTTAATGTAGCTTTCTTTACTTTCAAGGTACCACAGTTTGTGAGAAGAGAGAAAAAAACCATTGGTGCGAAAGATACAACCGGTTGAACGAGCAGAAGCCCTCTGTGTGGTGAACAGTCATCACTCATCTAAAAACCAAACGAATAAATCGATACAACGCACACATCAATAAATTGATGCGAACATACGAATAATCGATACACGGACACGCATCTAACAGTCTGGATTAAGACGAGATGAGGACTCAATCACGTAAATTGTCATTGTTTGCGATCAGCCACTCAGCTTACTCAGCTAGATCAGCTGTATGGACAACGGTGGTAGATGCGTTAGTGTTGTATGATGGCTTGAGCAAGTGAGATTACATCCGTTTTCAGAAAGTCATGATAGCTTGCTGGCAAACTGTACAAATGCTGGGAACAGACGTTCAGATAAACATCGTCAAGCATTTTTATTTCCCACAAAACTGTACTGCTGTAACCAACTATCTTGCATGGGTATAAGTATAAAGTAAGTCTGAAATATCAGCTCATAAGTAACCAGTTACCACTTCCAAGAGGTGTGCTTGAGTCACTCAATGTCCATACAACTCAGTTAATTTTAACAAATCAAGTACTGTAAGCTTGTCACGGAAAAGCGGAAAAATGTCATTAAACAGGAAACAATCCTATAAAACGAGTGTTTTGGGTTCATTTGAGAATCTGAAACCGTCGTTAATCAAGATAACGGGTTTATCTGGTGTAAACTTTCAATAAATATGTGTTGATAGGTAAACATTGGAATAGCCTTAACTTTTTGTGAACTTCTTGAGCATCATCTGATGCAGGCTTGATTGCAAGCGCTAGCTGAAGCCTACCCACGTCCTCGAACCCGTGTATCTCTTTTCAAAATACTGGAGTAGGGAGATTATATCTAACTATTATATTCTGTCGGCCATTATCCCTAAGGGTTAACCTGGTTAGCAGCACCCTGTGATCCAACAATTTGAGCGGGTATTTTTTTACCGATGTCATACTGAGTGGAATCCGTAGCTGCTGGTAAGACCTGCAAGACTTCATTATGACTGACGTATTCACGGTCCACAATCTGATTTTCTGCGATCTTGATGCTACATTTTCAGATAATTCATGTACATGCTTGAGAACGTTCATTATCGATAAAAAATTTTCCACATCGCTTATTGCCAGGTCGCTACCGCACATTAATAGTTGCGTTACTGTAAACAGAAAACACTTACTGATGACAATCTTTAGATTACTTTAAACGCTTTCCGTTTAAGCAGACGTTAGAATTAACTGTTTGGAAACACTACTGTGGTAAAGCAGAAAGTGCTGTTAAATGTGCACAAAAATAGCATATCGACTCAAAGATCCTCAACATGAATTTCGCAAACTAGTTACGTCACTGCAACAGGGACAGTGCAATGGTGGGTGATATAGCGCATCAACCAAAGAAAGTCTCAGCAAAGCGGTCAATTCATGTATGGAATGAGTGCAACGTTATCCTTTTACCGAACAGTAGAATATACCCGAAATTCATCACCTCCATGGGATGGATTGCAGCCGCTTCTGACCCGCGGCACAACTAGCAACCTATTGACGGCGTCACATTGATACAATCAAGCAATACATTCCTTAGAGGACTTAAAGCACTTCTCAAGGGCGTTGCGAAACGCGTACAACGATGGAACATTTGCGACTGTCTTATTTGGAAGTAGCTGATACATGTGATTTTGTGCAAAGATTTCGAGGGTACTTGGTTTATTCCCACCGGACTGCCAGAAAAACTGATATATATTTAACGACAAACCATTAGTCCCGGAAATTTACCATTCTTCCAATAAAAAAAACTAATGGGTGTCTGTAGACCGTGTCCTGCTCTTCTCCAGAAGCGGAACCAGAACGCTTATTAAGGCTTAACGTTGCATGCACACTCACGGGTTGAATAAAGGGGCTGGCTAACAGTAACGAGTTCTCCGTTAAAACTCGGCCAATGAGACGATAAACTTTGTTTGGCCATATGCAGAAAGCTTGAGACGTACCCGATAATGTTACCTACCATGTTGGTTGAACGTCTGTGGACACACAATGTGCCCGGTCAATGAGTCCGTGAGTGTCACAAAGGAGAACTTGTTGCATTCGCAAGCAGAGCTGAATCCGGTGGTACTGAAATCAGGAGTTCTTGCGACAATGTCAGCCACCCAAGATGAGCAAGTTTTATCTGGTACTGGGTTACCAAGCAAGCTGTATACGTAGTTCTGTTGCAATGGCAACAGGACTCCGGGCTGGTTCAATACAATCACCTTTAGGACATGACCAGTTTGTGGCGAAACATGGTCTCAGTGGCAGGGTGCAGAATGACGTTCGCACAATGTTGCAGACGAACGGATTTTTTCTCTTGTGGTTCTCCAGGAAGTAATTGATAAATAAGAAGAGGGTTTACAAAAAGCTTCTCATTAGTGCAACGTCCAGCACTATGCGCTGTAAGATCAGGCAGGTCAACTAATACTTTCGCAGAGAGAGGATTTCGATAGTGGACATATTTCCTTTACTTATTTTTAATCCAAACCGGCGTAGCTTGCACTCCGATAAATTGGACAGTAGGCCTTACAATTAGATTTCGGGCCACGTGCAAGGAACACACTTGCACGTAAAATATGAGGGTAATTTGATTACTCCTACCAGTATGGTGCTGCCGCAACTGTTGGGCCCCTTATTCTTTTTGGACTGCTCATAAATAATCTGAAAGGTGAACACAAGCTCTCAGTCTGGGTATCAACGAGTTTGAACCACAATTTTTTTTGTTCCTGCATGGGCATTAAGCCGTCAAACCAAACGGTCAGTTACTTATTTGAGACATCGTATGCGTCACTTGGTGGATTTAGTGGCATGCAGTGATCAGACGTTTCGCCTGATGTAGTCTCCACTATGATCTTCCAGATAATCGGCAATTTGACAACTCCAGTGAAACAAACGCATGTTGAATCTTTATAGTCAATTAATCCTTGGGCTTTGGTAGCGCAAGTAGCCTTATGAGCCTACCATGCTGCTCACGACCAGGCCCAGCAAACAAAAAGAACATAAAAAGGGAAAAGGTACGGACTACCTACTGTGGCGTTCAAACAGTGATTTTTCGGCTAAGAATGTCTTTCTAAAGAGACGTAGAAAAACTACTCATATATTTACTGAGCACCAAGAAAGTCAACATTGCTTTTGGATGATGAAAACAGATGATAACGAAAAGTCATAATTACAATAAAGCCAAGTGTCCCAGCAAACCAACTCAGTTATTCCGAAAGTGCTTTTCCATTCAGACGTCGTATAAGGCGCTATTACACCGCTGGTACACTTGTTGAAAAACAAACTCTTTCCATAATCCTTGAGAACTGACTAACGCTGAAAAAATCAGTCAATTTCGCACTTTCACTCGTGAGCGGGAGACTCATTCGATACTCCAATGTTTGTGATTTTCTTCAACCGAACATATCGTCCAACATGGTCCAACATTCACGATATCAAAACAATTTTATTTCACAAGAGGTATTTCTTAAAACGTCTTTGTCGACTGATATCGCACCACCATTTTTCTTGTGCCTGCTCAGTCACGTGATATGGAAGACAGGCATTTTGAGGGATATACCATTTGTTGGCTGACTAGTGAAAAATCATTCTGAGAAGTCATTCTGGGTGGGATTTCGTAAGCACTCCTCAGTGTGTTAAATCACCCACCAAGCAATAAGACAAATGATTCCGTGAGACACTGATTGCTAGAGGGGGCTATTCTGATCCCAATTTTTAATTTCTTGAATTGCTACTTTAGAGGTCCGATTGAATATACTCCACTGTTTCCCTGCATTTAAAGTAGCCAGGGGACACATGTGAAACCTACAGATAGCGCGTTAGTTTCACCTTTTAACGTAAAGAACATTTGGCGGCTTTTGGACTAGAGGCCTACCGGTCGTGTTCGGTCGCCATGCATGGTCATATTACCTGACCATCCACACCGATGGTCAGTGATATATGGTCTGCAGACGGATGACTACACGCTAAGTTTGTCGGCGGAACCGTGAAAATGTCTTTCCGTCGCTGCGAGGTCAACGTATGTATGGACCAGTTACTCATATCCTGTGAGGTTGATAAGAACTGCCAACTTACCTCTATGTGTCTCAGGTTGATTTGTTTCGGCATTTCAAGCAGTCTAACTATAAAACCCCAGGCTTAGATGAAACGATACCCCATCCTAACCGGTCTCTTGTGAATACGCATAGATTTTAGTGACCGTAGCGCACAAAATGCTAATCAGCTCACCCAGAGAAAAAGGTATTGGTGGTGTCATGTTCCCAGCGGTTGAACGTTGTTGCTGGTGTACTGCATACAAGTTGAAAATGAGCATAGACCGTCTTGGAATATGGAAACCAGCCACCGTCATTGCCTCTTGGGCAATGTGGGGTAAGCCGAAGGGCACAACGCTAGCATATCGATGTATCGCGTCCATATTTTTCGTGTTCACGCTGTCGCTGAACTGTTCGGGGTGAGCTGCCAGGTAAGTGAACGCCCAAGTGAGTGTGAGAGAACTTGTATCGCTCCCTGCTGCCATTAGTTCGAAAGCCAAACGATGCAGTTCTGTTGCTAAAGTGGGGAATAGAAAAGATTTAGAAGAAGGGTCTTGAAAACTGAACAACGGAGATTCAGCCGCTTCTGACTGAATCACTGTCCTACAAACTTGTGGCTTGAAGAGAATCCCAAGGGATGGTATTTTTGCAAGAAAGCTTTCTAAAGAAGCAGGTATTGGGAACTGGATTGTTATGAACTGACAACACGTAAGTAGTGGCGTCTAACAAGCAGGTTTTTCGGAAGTTTGGAGAAAGAGTAAAGTTCAAGAATCTATATTGCGTGGATTAAGTCCAACTCAAAGTCCACCGCCGTTTACTGTGCATATGTTTTCTAACAGAATATTTTATTATGCCGTAGATCTGGTGCTGCAATCGTACAATGTCTGCCAGAACGAAATTGGATCCCAGAAAACAGCAGACTGTCCATTCAGTCACATTATAATGTTACCAAGTTTTACTAAATCTACAGGCCATCAAACCATTAGTGGACGATATGGTCGGCGTTATCCGGTCTTCTAGGCTAGGTGGCGCAAAGAAGGATATCTGAAAACCAGCTAACAGAAAGAAAAATAAAAAACAAGACACTTAGTGGGGATGCGGATGTTTGTTGCTAGACAGACGTCGAAAGCCTGGACCGAGAGCGGGAAGAATTATAAACGAGACAGAATGAGTTTAACCTCAAACGGATACTTATAACCGGGCGAAGCTAAGTATGAAATAGTAGTAGCAAAAAAGCTCTAAGAAACCAAATACTAAGAAATTGCACTTGTAATAATTTTGGTAAATCACGTCACCGGCCGATATTAATTGACTGCCGTGAAATGCTCTTTGATCGTTCGCGAAATCAGCTGGCAGTTTTAATGGATGCATTGCTAACACGTAGGTAGTCTACTAGTTTTCGGAAGAAGTCAACCTCTCTTGCAAGAGTCAGAGTATCACATCTTAAATTTTGTCGTTCGTCAAAACCTATCACGGATGGCGAGTGCATCCAAGAATTCAGGCAGCACAGGGCAGGATTCCTACTCGTATCATATCCATCCCAAGTAACTCGAATTACTTGGATCCGTTTGGGCTTTGCATACTTGACGTCCAGTCGATCGCTGATCGACATGGCATGTCAACGAGCTGTCTTAACTTTTGATCACTGCAGAGGGCAGCGATGAATAAATATGCATTTATGCCTGTCTAGAGGATTGTGATGGTGAACAAATCACACATCTTGAGATATTGACGGTTTGTTTGAATGAGGGATATCGCTCAGACACTGCGAGCAAACGACGCACGAACGGACAGTGGACGGGTGAAGGTGAAACGGGTTGTTAACTGATAGGAAAGCGCTTCCAGTCGTGTTGACGAGTCAGCCGTGGATAACAGAAGTTTATGAGAGAGATTTATATCAAATCATTGAGTGTGAATGTGTAAATCGAAGACAACTGTACTGCCAAACAGAATTTGTTTCCAGTATCACCTGATGAGAAAGAAGCTGAAATGTCTGGTAATAAGTGAGCATTGGTTGGAGGACAGATTAATACTCATTTGTGAAGAGTAAACGGATTCTAGTGACATTATTTGACTACTGCTGGTTGGGTGCAGTTCGTAGGATACATGGTCTGGCAGTGTCCTTGTTTTCAGTAAGCATCCAATAAGCTGAATAATTTGAGGTACCTTGTGGTCCACGGCCCCCTGTTCCCTTCCTAGTTCAAATAGGCCCACCCACAAGCACGATCTCGAAAGTCGAAAGTACCGGTCGACCAAGTTCACCTGGCCGTTGACAGTTCGTATCACTTGCTGGTCTGTCGCCTTTAACGCATCATTTGCTCGTTAGTTTATTGCTCACCCATAACGAAAATCTCAGTGAGTGTGAGTAACCCCACCCAACTAACAAAACCACTGACACTATTTCACGATATGTAGTTTGCCCACCAGGGTTATCAGCAAGACGAGGCTACGTTTGTACTCATGCATTGGCTACCGAATACACAGACAGCCGGCATCGGTTGTGAATAACAGCAATGCATATGAAAAGCCCAGGTAAGGACGGGACCGTCTCACAGTGTCCATATTTGAAGACATTCTATCAAGTCTCAAAAAGACTATAGGGAAACAAAATGCTTCTAAGGAAAAGTGCTCTATCACACCATAGAACTCACGTGTTAGCTTCAACTTATCATCCTCAGTAAATCGATACAATAGTGATTCCGGTTTGAGTCCGGCCTCCATGGATTTTGTGATCTCTTGTTGCATTGTACAATGAATAATCTTGTAGCGCTCTGTCAGTTTGTCCACTTTGAAGAATCGTTGAATATATGGGAAATATTTAAAAGTTGGCAATCTATTGGAGATTGACGAAAAATCTTCTGTTAGCAAGTATAATGCTACCAGACGCTGTGATAATGAAATGTTTTGAAACCTAGTACAACGGTTGTTTACTTAGGCGAGTCTCATGGTTGACCGGGATAAACAGATTCCAGTTTTAGAGGACATTTGTGGAACTCCAAAAAGTTGTTCTGTTGAGCGAGGTGTTTCATTTAAGCGTAAATGTGACCTCCGTAACCATAAATCAATCTATGAAACTTAGTCACTTGTCACTGGATAGTTACTTGTTTATTTGGTCATTCCTTAGTTTGTGTTCCTTACTTCAATTGGTTTACATGCATTTCACCCTCAAAAACGGGTTTCTCCTACCCTGGGCGCTGAGCTGCATCCATATATGTGGACCTGTGCTAGCATACCTCAAACATTTCTGTGCTGGTGGGTGTCAATGAAAGATATCGCTATACGACAAACCTTTTTTTTCGCTGACCGGAACACATTGTCAATTCCTCGGCGAGCAACGACGAAACCGAATACGGATAACCTAGATTACTCGCTACATAAATTACTTAAAAATAAAGTTCAACAGGACTCTCTTGCATTTACCCTAAAATCGAGGAGAGTGAACAAAAGCGCAGCTCAGTCTTGAGTAACTCTCACTTTCAGGTCTCATCTGCAAGGAGCAACCGGTAGACTTAGGTCAGCTTGCGGTTGTCCTCTTTATTCTGTGATTCTATCTCCTGAATCTAGTGTCATATTCAGCTGAACAGCAGTTTGTGGTGCAATCGGTCCTGTGGGCGAATGAGTTGACCAAAGGAATCCTATACTTTTATGATCGTAATACACCACTCATGAGGATGATGAAAACGTCGATAACCCATGACCGGTTTCGCCCTGTAGGGGCTCATCAGGTAGACGTGGTCAGCGATTTCCTGTCAACCTTGCACTTGAACTCAAACTGCACAAAATTAGCGATGTACACTCACTTGCATAGCAGTTTGGTTTTGACGGAAGACCTACCTGAGCACATACCTGACACACCTGAACCTTTCGTCTGTGATGTTTTTCAGCATTCTTATGAGTAGTGAATTACGTCTATGTATGTATCGCGACATCTCGAATATCGTACTAACTGAAACACGAGTGGTCTGGTGCAGAGAATCCAGTTGTTTAAAAATATCATAAACGAGAGAATCATCTGGTTTCCAAACGAGTCACCCGTCAAAACCAAATTAGTAAGCAAATGAGTGTATTTCGCTAAAGTGGACACCATCCACTGAAGCTTATCACAAGTCGTAATCAAACGGTTGCCCACTGTTACAAAGCCAGGCACAAAAGCTCGCCGAGAAAGCCTGGGACTTTTAAGACTGAAAATCACAACCAAATTTCCATTAGCTTTGATCCACTAAAACACACATGTCCTGCGAAATGCTGCTTGTGGAACCTTTCATTATGTAGGTGATAACATCGGGACATTCACTTGAGCGCCATTGCTAAAGACAGAGTTCTTTCCGTTTGAGATTCTCTACTTTATACCTGGTACTTGAACGATCACAACACACAATTTGGAGAACACTGGTAATAAGTCAGGTGGAAACTTTTCCGCCTCATCCAGAGAAGAGAGCAAATGGCCCTCGAGCCTCAAATGCCTCAATCGCATTTGACGACAGACTGACTCCTATTGATAGTATCCGTGTGTTTTGTGCTGCAGTAACCAATACTGACTGACATTCAATTAGTTCCTTGTAACTATAGTTTATAAATGCATATGTACACGCAATTGCACTAGTGCATGCACACACGTGCTCCACAAGCGGCTTCAAATTAAGCACACAATCACGTCTGGATTTCTGGGCGTGATTTGAGCCCGATAAGTTGTAAACATGCTATCCAGACGTCGGTTACAGAAGCGTGAAAATACGCGTTAGATTCTACTGAATATGCATGTCGCAGCGCAGCCCCCTATACTACAGACCAATTGGACACGGGCGAGAGAGACAGGGAGAGTTGTCTTTACTTCTTCACTCCTGAAAAACATGTGAATTACTTATCAGGACAGAGGCCAGGATCCAATTTGAAAGCACTCATGCTGATGAAGACCGGATATAGAAACTGGTCGCGCAGTGTCCTAGAAAAAAATCAGGCCTGATTTTCAATGATAGCTGATATTCACCTTCTTAACCAGTTACACGGAGTCATGTCCTTTGGCAAACTTGGACGGTGTGTTCATGTGCCGCTGATACGATGTCAACGTATGAATTCCCCATGCAAAAGAAATCAAGTTGTAGAATACTCGAGACACATGACCAATACATAAAAATCACCGGAGCCACTGAAGCAATTTTTCAAATGTTACAATGTTCGAAAAGCGGAATCCCTACCCTGTCTACCCTGAGATTCATATTTTGATATCTGAAACGTTACCACGTACCCATTGGACATGTTTCTCCGTCCAATTCACCAATACGGACTTTTCTCATACGGGCTTATTCTGAGGCCCTGATAGCTCCGGCCTTCAGACTACGGTGCCGTATACGAAAAATTCAGGCTAAGTTGTTTTTGGTCTCAGAACCATATAGATCATCATACGAATGAAACGAGTGAACAGCAAACAATAATCAACTCCCATATATGAATTTACCAGACGGGTATTCTTGGTTGTTGAAATACAGTGCTTATGTGGTTGGTCATTGTTTCCTCTTAATATCTCTTCTTTAAGTGACTAAGAACCCAGTGCGAACCTTGTCGACAGATAGGTGAGGGTTTGTGCAATATTCGTTCATTTGTTTTGTGGTGTCTCATTTCCTAATGTTCATTACTATTTTCAGCCATCTCCAGAGTCAACCCCGCAATCGTTTGCATCCGTCAAGCAGGCTATCTCTCTAGCAATCGATAAAGAAATAGAAGTTGACAGGACAATCCACACATTGCTTATGGTTGCTGGGGCAAAGAAGGAATCATAGGTAGGTGTCTTGCGCTTACGACTGCCCCCACTTGTCGAAGGACAGACGGAAGGCTTTGGGTCCTCTACCAATAACCGATTTGAAACCTTGAATCGAGGTTTTATCATGGGAGAAAAGTTCAGAAGCACGCTTAAAAGTACAAATTTCAGTGTCCTTCATGCCTGTTTCAAAGTTAGGAACTTTGTACAGCTGGCTAAAAATTAGTACTGCATGCAAAACGTCTCCCCATATCTACCGAATCTCCTTGTAGAAAACGACTTTTGAATATAACATATAGTTATATATATATATATATATATAGTTATATAGTTACATACGACAAAACGGGTACTATACATCAGTACACACGATGGTGTAAATCTGTGTGCAAGTAATGAGTTAACGTTTGTCAGGCTGTACAGAAAAAACAGGCAGTGTTTCGGTCTCCAGCGTTGCACGAGTCTCTTTTTAACTTGTTAGAGTTGTGACAACTCATGCATCCCAAACGACGGAGTGCTGGTAAGACTGGTGGCTATAAAGCAGCCCGACAGATCTGACTCACACGGGCAATACGGAAGAGCTGTCGCATCGTGAATAAAACGAATTATGCAAAAATGAAGAAAAATATGCTGTCATTGGCGAAAAATATTGATTTGTTACAATGTTGATGGAAAACAACGCTCCCTCACATGAGATCCTGCGGTTGTTCTTTTTATTCAGTGATTGTAGCTCCTGCAGCTGCTGTCATGCTCAGCTGTACAACGGTTTGTTGTGCAATTGCTTATAGGTGCGAGAATGATGATAACCGAAAAGAATCCCATACTTTGTTTCAGTGAAAATCATCCTTGACAGAATCGGCAAGTTCCAAATTTTCTGGGTCACTGTTCTTTCCCAAACAAACTTCTGGCTAAATCGCTATCTTCACAAGGCTCCTGGGTATTACTGTTAATCCTACCACAGTGGAAGAAAAGCATGCGTTCCGGTTCCTTTGTAAAATGTACCACCATCTCCCTGTACATTTGTTAAACTTTAAACCTCACGAAGCGGTGTGACTGACTTGTTTATTCCTCTGGGAGTAGACATTAACGTGCTGTAGTGTGCACGGAATTGTTGGAGTTTCCTTCTTTGTTACACTAATTTCAAGGTTGTTGAAAGCACTTTGGTAGCCTACTATTTGTTTTGTCCTTCTTGAAGCCTATCGGGTAGGCATGTACTCAAGGTTCTAGCAACCTTTGGTTTTAAGTGCTTACTACATTGTGCGCAACAGGAAAAACAAACTGTTGCGAATTAACTTGCTCCTAGCGGGAGACTCAAATGGATCCAAGCAGAATCACTCGGCTGAGATTCACGTCGGCAATCTGGAAATAAGTTGGGTCGAGGTAATTTTTTACAAGTTACCAAAAGAAATAGAAATCACCGTTTAACCGTTCCACCAGCTTTCCAGATGAAACAATAAGATGAGATAAACTACACAAAGTAAACTAAAAATGCCTTTAGAGAATGATGCACTCTTCTCATATTTTCAGACAGCATTGGCTAGGCACAGATAAATCACACACGTGTCTAGTAGGAACTAAAACATGCAGTGGCCTGGCGAGACCATATCAAAATCATATAATTGCAATCATATGATTAGATGATGGGTTAAAGAGTTGAAATATTATTCAAAGAGAGTCAACCAGTAACATATTTCAAAATTTTAGTTTCCCGAGTTCCATAACCTAGCACAAAGATTAGCGAATGGACATGATATCTAGGTCTATCTGTGTCCACTTCCCAACCAACCGATCAACAACCCAGACAGATTTGTGGAATCCATAATAACTCACGCGTCTGTCTTACTGTTATGCTCTATGGTGATGCCACAAGTGAACTATAGTACTAAACGTCTACACGAATTATGCATGGTGTCAAGTAGGCTACCCCACCAGTCCTAAAAGAGGGTTCTTGTTTTAGAAACTACTATTCACCTTGTTTACTGTACTTTACTGTACAAAGCGATGAAAGGACATAGAGGACAACTTGTCTCAATAGTCCAGTCGGTTGTTCAATTTTATCCAATGTTTCCGAACCAAATGTGCTAATTTGTTACCACTTTAGGAAAAAATGTCGCTTATTATATCATTGTCGACGGGGTGATTGACTGATGATAGTCTAGCTCATACTACAGTCACTGTTCGGTAGAGATTACTGAATTGTCGACTCACATGCATTTGGGAAGTAACTGACTAGCCTGGAACATTGTATTTTCCATATTATTGCAGCTTATCTGTTGGAGTATGTGTTCGATTTCTCCGTTCTCCATTTCGCATACCGTACCAAACACTACTCTCCACATAATCTTCCAGATGGTGCGGCGAATAATCGGCCTGTAAATGAGGAGAAAATGTGTATTGAGTTAGCTGTTCTAATCGGTCAAAAAATGTATGTGTATAATATTTCCCTTTATCCATTTGTTCCACATTTCGAGCTTACTGTTGGCCAGAGTTTCCAAGAAATTGGTCAAGTAATCTACGTAACTATTATACTGGCTGTCAGTGGGAAAGCACTCCAATAGAAAATTGAATAATTGCTCAACTGTAACAGGCCCCCGGTGCATAGCTGTCTGCCAATCGAAAGAAGCTCAAGGGCTGAGTTGTTTCCCAAGCCTAAATAGAAGCAGTCAAGGTGCCGAGGTTGGGACCTTTCGGTCAATCGGTCGGTGCCTTAACCACCGAAGCCTTCTGGAGCTCAAGCAACGTAGGACTGAGCCGTCCAGATGCAGCAGACCTGAGCATGCAAGATGTTTTTACTAGACAGGGTCTTTCTGGAATACAATTTATTTTTCATCTTGATCGGTGTAATGGTTTGAGTTTTTGCGTTTTTTGTAGGTTTGAGACAGACCTAGACAGAGGATAGTTTTGTGTTAATCTTATACTACGGTACTTTTACCTTCTGGAATAGTTCCAGCTAATACAAGCACCCTATTTTACCAAATATAGTCTATAGATAAATTTGCTCCATCATGACATAACTACACATATGAAATTTAAAAAACCACCATTACTTTCACCCTCTTCTAGGCTCATCAGGTAAGCGTCACCCCCGAGTTCCATCAATCACATTTTCTAATCGAATGACGTCCCTTACGCAGGTGGAGTTACACACGCATTTTGAAATTAACCCGGTAGACTCATATAGTTATTTGAGTCCCTTTATCCTAATATGCCTTACCAAGAATGTCTAATGTATACCATAAAACTATATTAAAGATATTAATGTGGTATCCTCCAAGAGAAATACTTGAGTTTTATTCTAACAGAACTATGAAACGGCGTTTTTCGAAGCGCATTCAGTTGAAAGTTATGCTAAACGAGACCTTCAGGTGATAGTCATCCAGGTCTATGATTAACCTCGAGTTAATCTATAAATAGTGAGATAAATTTCTACTTTTATTAAGTGTGTGCATGACATTGATGTCTATGTACATTCATTAACATTTCAGAGCAACCATAGTTCAGTCTGAGAATCATAGACTGCTGCATCTTTGTCTCTGAATGAGATAGTATGTGTATTGTGTTCTCGATCGGGTTGATATCAAGAGAGTAGGGTGGAAAATCCTTACACGGTAGAACAGGAGCTTATTTCCGGTGAGGCGAAATATATAAAACAAGGCTCTCTGGTTAAAATGTTCCAACTTACTGCACTCTGATGGTTTTACAAGGTAATATTAACTGTACGCATGCTTACATCAAGAGACCGCGCATTGCACGAGTGGACAAGAGCAGAATGATTCACGCCTCTTGTTATCTGGAGCAAGATTCTGGTGTGTGATATCAAGCTAGTTGACATATAGTAGTAGGCTCAGTGTACAGTATCAAATAGACTGCGACATCAAAGAAGAGCTGGTGGCTGCCACGAGACGGGAAGCGTCCGTTGAACTTCATCCAGACGCTCAATAAAAGTAGAACAGCCCGATTAAGTAACGGAACAAGGAACTGAAAATTCGTCCAAAGGAGCTGTACCTTGGTTGGAAGGTACTTTTGTTGTACTATCCAAATGTCACTTCCCACGAAATAACCCCTGCATATTTCACATTTTTCTTTCAGTTGTGCCTCCATCTTCTAGCGAAAATAGTCCCTTTCCGCACACTGGTGGCAGGTTTACTGAAAACATTCACGTCTTCATATGAAACCGAATATGGGCTACGAATACACGTATCGATCGAACATGCTTTTTCCAGTGATCGATTTTTTATGTTGTATTGATTACTTCGGTTCAGTGTCCCAGTGTCCCTCTGGTCATTTTTTTACACTCGCACAATACATTCAAATTTTCATGAATTCTTCGTCACCTGATCATAGGTAGAACGAACAATAAGTTTATGAGGTAAACACGAGTTTTAAAAACACTGTATTATTCATATCGGGTTAAAGCATAAAGCGCATTTGGCCCCAAAATTTAAATAAATAAAGTTTTACCGGATTCGTTCGTTATCCTGGGTTCCGAGGAACGCCACCAAGTCTGATGTTTGCTCTGGTCTATTCCGAACCCGTTAGACTTGGAATGTTCATATTTTTAGGATGTCTCGCACACGGTAAATGTCCACTGAATGATTTATTTTAGCCATGAAATACATAGAATCTTGGAAATACTCTGTTACGTGCTGAGAGTAGAAAAAACGTTTGAAGACACTTGACTGATTTGGTTGATAATTTTCTCTGATGTGCATTGGACATAGGTAGTGCTCATGCATTCCAACAGTGATTCACCAAGGTCACAACTAGTGTGTTGTTGAGCACAATTACCACTAACTGACGAGTAATGTTCTAGATATGAATAACCTAATAATTAATTTGAATTAACTGGAGCACGTGATCATTAATTTCATCGGTGAAAAAGAAAGTATCTACATGAATGTCAAATCCTGCAACGCAGGTGTTGCAACTAAACTTGGTGAAGAATATCTGAATAGGGTAGTAAAACAATGCGGTGAACGTAAGTCAACCCTATTCACTTCGAACGTGTACGTTTCTAGCTTTCCCGTCAGAAGCCCTCACATTTGGCATAAACTCCCTTGACTACACACGAATCAGAGCAAGGTCAGTAGAAGGTTACGGAATGGTGAATTGCATTTTTCTTGACTCAATGCTACTTATAGGGCTGCTGAAAACTCAAAACGACGTTGCCTCATTTTGGAGCTCATCAGTGGTGGTGAGGCCGCGATTCTGATGCTTTATCTGGTTTGAATGTTTGTTGGCATGATAGGGAATAATAGAGAGAATTCACAGCGGTCATATTCAAAATCGTGCATCCTCCGTGCTCTAAGGTTCTTCTCTGTGTCAGGTAAACATAAGGTGAGTCAATCGGACGGAAAATTGCGACACATCGGGACTCTTGATGTTCGTCTACGTTCACCTTTCTGTACTGATCTAGGGGGATACTTCAAGATCACAATACCTCGACTCCTACCGTCTTATTAAATCGGCCATAGTCTCTCAGAGGTATTTCATTGTAAGACTGTCCAGAACTCGGGTGGAGAACTAAAACTGTTCGGGAATTTGTGGAATATTACATTACTGGGGTAGGGTTTTCGATAGACTGGTGAGAGTCACCGTGTGAATGGAGCGAAATTCAAGGGTAGAGCATCTGCTTAATTTGTTGAAAGCTATGCCAAAGCCGTCATCTTGTGGTGACACGTAGCCAAGGAGTCCAACTGCTCCCAAATGTGATGCTTTTGCATTTAGTTTGGCCTTATCTTAATAGCATTTCGCAGCCTTTCAGCGATTAATGTGGTGCTTCGGAAGTCCTGTGCACACCTAATCAATGAGTAACTTTTTTGAGCGTTGTCGAAAATGTGAAACTTCTAAACTAAACAGCAGCAAAAAATCAAGATAAACTGGTGGCCCCAACGGCATCTTGCACACTTTCTGGAAGCTATCAGACCTGCATCATACTAGTCGCTAGCACACACTTTGATTAACCGAAGATGTGATTAAGAGACTCAGTCCGTCTGCGGCGTGATCGTAACATGACGCCTCTCCCCCAATACACACCTCGGTCACTGTCGAAGTTTAGAGTCGATCCTCGTAGGGCAATGAGAATTAGACAGCCTGACCTTTACGCATCTTTGTAACCCAACTGAGTTTTCCTCATCGAGCAATCTTTATCGTTTCAAATAACAGCTTATGGCAATTTCCTCTGATGGACGACAAGACAAATGTGAGCATAGCTCACCTGGTAAAATTCCTACTGACCATCTGATTGTGACCTCAATTGCAAATATTTTTCGGAACTATTTCAGTACCGGAAGTGGCTGCGCAGCTCCCCATCGCCGGCTGTTTGGTCACCTCGGATTGCTCTTGTTTACGATCCAATCAACATACCCAGTCAACCAAGTGACTCCGGCTTGTTGAGGACAAAGATGTGACTAGCTGAACGAACGTGGTTTCCCTCACGAGACTCTATCAACAAGCTAGCCTACAGCAAACGCAGAATTCTGATTTCAAGGAGGATTTCTGTAAAGCTCACTTCAGTAGGATTACCTTAACCAGAGGTCCCAGCCGCAGCCAAGTAGCACCCATGCTGAACAGAACGCGAGTTAGACTGACCGAAATGCGTTTCATCGGGAAGGAATCCAGAGAAAATACCGATGAACAAAGGGACACTCGTAGTTTATACGAAATGCTAGTGCAGCCAACTGTCCTTGATAATCATTGTTTATTTACTGGACGCCAACAAACACGATTGTTTACTGAATTTATGACTAGCTTTGGTCTGATACACACGACTATCCTGAAAGTTTATGTTTAGTACTAAGAACATGCGAAGCGTGTTTAAGACCATTTCTTCCCCTGACCCTGAGCTAGACTCAGCATGTGCTCCGCTCTTGATTTCGCCCAAAGAGGCTTCAAAATCATGAATACTGTGGTCCACTCGTATGTCACAATCTGGACATTAGAACTGACGTTTTAGGCGGCCGACAGTGCATACAAAGACGTTAAAATAAGCGACTGATACATTGTAACTAAAATCACTCATTTGAATAAAGATTGGAAAACAAGAGGTTTTCATAAGATCCGCTTGACACAGTGCTGATTTATAGCAAATGACAAGAACTTTGGCCATACGAAGTTTTTTGTGTTGATTGGTTACTCGGCTTGTCGACTGAGCATCTCAACCTACTCCGTAGTTGACTGGCTATCACACAGGTACGGAAAATGATCTCAAAAATTTGTGAGACATGGTAATGAGTTATGTATACATTTGAACCAGATTCTTCGCTGCGGAATTTCCGGATGTAAAGAGGAATTCCTGAGTGGAAACCACAAAAATTAGTATATAGGCGTGTCATTTCCTGGTTATCCGTGAAGCTGTCAGAAACTCCGGAAAATACTCGTGTTTATGCTAGATTTCATAGTGTTTCACCCTTTTTCGGTACGAAGGCTAGGTGAGTCACGTGAGTGACATGCTCAACTGGATCGTAAATACTTTGGTAATGCTTTAAAAATTCCAATTAGGTCCTAAAACATCAAACAAAACTGAAGCTTCTGGGTGCAATTTACACAGTATATTAATGGCCCATCTTCCTCTTCTCTAGTATGATATCCAATGGCCACTAATTTGGTCGTGAAGCAGTTGGAAACCGATTTTTGGGCTGAAAGAATCTATACTCTTTGTAATGGATCTCGAATTTTCAGCCTCTTTTTCGCCTCTTTGGATCTGCTGGTGAAGATCTTTTGTGTAAAATAGAATAATCGAAATGATCCGCAACAAATTCAATTGGTATTGTGTTGTCACCCAGTCACACATACATGTCTTATTACACGTATTCAGACGCGACACTTTAGGTGCGTCTACTGTTGGTAATGCACTGGTCTCGGTACAGTCGGAAGGCTACAGGGTTGATGAGGCCTAAAAACAGATCAAACATCCCTTTCTTGTAGTCTTACCAGAATAATCCCAGTGAGACTGGAGAATAATGGTTCCAGTATAAGTGGTGCCACGTGAGATCTGAGAACTTTGCTTTGCCAAGGGTACTCTTAACTTCATCCCCTAATATAAGACAGTTGATCTCCGCACTGTCTTCCAAAATCGTACGGTAACATAACTCGCCTCTGATCGTACGGAAAATCCAGTTGCGTTTTCCGTTGAATATCCCTTGGCTTTATGTTAACCGGATTTGTTGCTGACACATAAAATTGTTCAATTGGGCACACATTCGGCTGACATCTATACGGCTCTTGGTGAAAAACAAATCGAAAAGCAGTCATTAGGTGGACTTTGTTCGTGGTCTTTGTCGAGGATCTAAAGTGTATCGGCGGTGTCACGGTTCAAAATCCATTTTCTTCTGGAGAAAACTATTTACAAAATTATTGCATGCAAACAGTGTTCACAGTAATCCTGACCCTTGGAATCCTGGCTTTCTATGACGCAGAAAATGCTGAACCTAGCTCACCACAAGCACTGTGTGACGACAAGTGGTGCACTTTCCTTCCTAACCCCGGGCGAATAAATTTTACAAAGCAGTTACAGAGGTTTCCATGATGCACCCACTCATTTGGACACGAGTTATTGTTGGGAATGCTTCTTAAGAGGTCGAAACTAAGCTGGTGAGATGCTTGACGTTTCCTCTGGACCACATCTCGTCACAAACGATCAGTTTAACACCAGAAGTGAAAATCAACACATTTTAACTTGAAACGAATGGAGTTTATGGTGAAACTAATGGCGGCTAAACAACTTTATTTAGCTTTTCTCAACTGCTTCGCTCCGGGGTACTCACAATCATGGTCGAGTTCTATTGCGTGCTTGAGGTGTGATGACTCAAATGATTTCGGTATGCCAAACAAAATTGAATTCATTAATCTAATGAATTTGTTCCTGCTGAGTGACTTGAACAGCATTCTGCTTTCTAATTTTCAACCTAGAAGAGAACGTTAACCTTAGCATACACCTGCTTTGTGGAAATAGGATCACGCAGAATTTTATTTAGGCGGTGCAGAAAGTGGAGTTTTTTGGGGTATGCACTCATCCTAGGAAAACCTACAAACTTCACTTTTCAGTTCGTGACCAATAGGCTTTTTCTGCATGTACGTGACATTGCTGTGATGTGGGCCGTTGGAATACAATTTGTATTCGAAATTCCACGGAAAACGTTGCTTAGTGCATGAGTCTACGGGGCTAATTTATTGTGACCTGCATAGTGTACTCAAACATATGTGTTTGTGTAAGTGCGGGAGCACTTGAGTGAGACAAAATGCCGAGCACGAGGTGGTTGAACTGAAAGGCTCCTGGTGTAGACAGATGCGTACACATGAGTGTAGGTAAAACTACAGAACCTCAGAAGGGGATTATATGAAACCGCTGTAGGCGATAACATGAAGGAGGAACTGACTGATGCATTTGGAACGTAGCACGCGCCTTTGCCTGGGGAAAGCGTATGCTTAAGCGGCTTAGTTTCAGTTGGATTCACGACAGCTATTTTAGACAACAAATTAAATATCATCGTTCAGTTAATTAAACAGGTGGATATCGTAAAGTGGCACAATATTTAATCCGTCAGCAGCATCTGTGGAAACGTTTCAGTGGGTTTTAAATAGAGCAAACTCTTTGATGCTAATATTTTCTAAAATACTATGGTTTGTAATAGACGAAAGACGCACATGGCCTGATTGGAGACCCGAGTAACGTATACAAATGAACACTAATCAGTTCACACAGCCTGTATGAGACGTATGAAGTCAAATGCCAGAATGAACATTCACGAATCATATTCACACACAAGCCCCTAGCCCATCGTGGTCTTCACTATTCTGTGAATGTTCATCATTCCGATTCAGTCACTGAATGAAATTCCTTAAGTCAAAATGTCCTCCATTCCTGTCGATGACTTAAAAATACGTAACCTCCTCTTCCTCATTTACTTTTGTTCTTTTATTGAAAATGAGATTCCACTTCAATTATGGTTGCACGGCAGCAAAGCACAATAATATGTTGTCGAAGATGATAACGCTGAACCTCCTTGAAAAGTGTAAACTTGTTTGAAAACTTCAGCTTCTGCGGCTTCTGTTCATTCTGGGCCCTCCTGTAGAATATATAGCCTCTATTAAACACATTCCGTTGAGAACTATACTTGCCACAAGGAACAGCTGACTTCAATTTTTAGCGTTCACATTCTCTGAAGTTTTCTTCAAAACGGTGATCTCGTTGTTCTTGGTGAATTCTCCACTCTGCTCGCCTACTTTCGTGACCGGCATATAATATGTGCATTGTTTACGAGTCCTCCGTTTACACACTGATTTCAAACAATTTCAGTCCACCTCATAATGCACTTACCAGATCTAGTTGCCTGTTTGTTGTGTGTGAACGTAATCCATGCGTTTAAATGTAACGCAACATTTAGCAAACTGATTATTCGTTCGGTTCAGCGGTGCTTTTTCTACTGCCTTCCTGATGCTCGTCTTGATATCTTTTACAAACAGTCTATTTGCGTTCCACCAGGAAAGATGCCTTCTGACGATGTCAAAAACATTAATAAAGTTTTTCCTACCAGTCACTATTTAAGTCATGCTGATTTTTACATCGCTTCCATTATCTGACAGATAAACCTTCGATCATCCTACCATCTGCATCCATAGTAAAGTTAAATAGTAAGTTAAATAATGAATGCTGGAGATAAAGTTGTTCATTTTTATTCATTTTCTCCATTGACCTTCCTTCTTATGGAACAGAAAGGACTTTTCAGGATGCGATGCGATGAAGACTGTCCAACTGATCCACTTAACGTGAGGAGCATTTAATGAGGATAACAGGTAGAAGAAATATTCCTTAGCTTAACTAAGACTATGGCATGTGATCGACTACTTAGTGATAAAACAATGATCACTTTCATGTACTTAATTTTCCTCAGCCTATGAAAAGTGATGGCCCAGAGGAATACAACAATCGGATGATCGATTTTCGTTGAGTCGTACTGGGAAGCGGATCCTAACTAGCGGCACGTGAAATGTGAGCTTCGTTTACGGCGTTTTGATCCTGAAGGTCAAATGAGCCGAGCCACTGCGTTATGGATCGATAAAAATCGATTAAATACGACTTCATTCCAGCCCTGGATGATTGAGCTCGGTTCTTATAGAATAATCAGCTACTACACACGGACACCGAAGTAGATGGTGGAGTAGCAGTGTGAGGAATGCTTGGATTATTATTTCTCACAGCATTAACGTGCACGCCAGTCGATATCATCAAGTGCTGGAAGTAGAAAGACATTTTCAATCACAATTGATCACCAAAGGGTAGTTACTAATTCGGTGATACTGAATGGATGAAACCAGGTGGACGCTTCTGCGTGCCTTTATTAGCTGTTCTACTGTAGTTCACTTAGTGAAAGTGATCATGTGAGTAGTTAAGCAAACTCTAACCAATTTAATGAAGATAGAATTATTAGTATCGTTGACAAAACAGTGTTTCACTTGCTTGATGAGACCAGTAGGAACAATCTGAATGCATTTGCCGCAAAGAGAAGAAATTCGTCAACTCACATTACTTTGATTGGCCTTTGGTTGCTGTTCTCCAGTTCACATATTAAACCGTTTATTTCCTTTCTGATTGGAGCAGCTAACATGTTGTTTTCTGATCTGTCTGCTAGATAGGCGATCATATGTTCATGTCCATAAAGATGTCGAAAGAGCGCGTGGCGGAGTTCCACTGCCCTTGGAGTATTGTAGTTTGAAATTCCTGATGAGATGTTTGAAAAAAATTGAATTTCTTCTGAAAAGTGTACCACTAGCAATCTCAGCAGCAACTAGAATGATACAACTACTTAACCTGTCATAAAAATGAGTTTTGGGCTGAAAAGGTAGACGGATGACAGCATTTTCGGTTTTCTTTCCAAATCATTACCCATTTGGGTTACCAGTATTAATGCATTCATCTCATACATCTGCACAGAGAAGGTGACTTCAGGGGTAGTCACCAAAGATCCCTAGCTTTGTGATCTGTGGTCTTGTCACCCCACAAGAAAACCTTTTTGGTTGGCCAAACAAATTAAGAAAACCTCTTTGGTTGGCCAAACGAATGAAGACTTGAACTGTATCTTTGAGAACTTCCTCCGTCACGTGTACAAGACAAACAGACAATTACAGGTCACAACAATTTCAGAAACGTTTTCTAACGAGATCCTGCATGTACCTTAACACCAGAACTCTTGTACACCGACTACTCCTCTCTGGTCATTTTGACCCGATTGAACATTGCCGTTGAATTCAGCGTCATACTCAAACAAACTTAACTGATTTTTAAAGTGCTTGCATACTCCTGTCAGATTTTGCAACCTAATGAATAGATTCAAGTCCTGAACACGGAATAATGTTTTTTCTATAGTATAATATGATATTTTGACAGGAAAAACACCGGGAGCTTACACTTTGGCAGGGCTAATGCTTCTCTAGATGTACACTCTCGAAACCAATCTTTTGGCTCGTGCTAACAAAAAGTGTTAGAGATGAAGATAACCGGGCTCTCTCACATTCCATATGAAAATAGTGACATGAGCACTTTCATCCCAATAGAACGTTGGGCAAATAAGTCATGAACCGGTCAGTTTTAAAGTCCCTTCATTTTTAGAAATGCACTCATTTGCAAATCAATTTGGTTTTCACGAGAGACTCAATTGAATCTCTCGTTTATGATGTCCTCCAGCTGAATGTGCTGCACACAGGCCTCCTCATGTCTCAGTTGGGTTGAGGGAAACTCGGGGACTGTGCCTACCTGATGAGCCCCAAGGAGGGCGAAACCGGTCGTGGGCTGTCGAAGAGTATTCAGTGGAGGACATCATAAACGAGAGATTCAATTGAGTCTCCCGTGAAAACCAAATTGATTTGCAAATGAGTGTATTGCTCGAAAACAGTGCAATTTGGGTTCAAATAGATCATAAGGTTGACGGAACCTCAGGGACTGCGCCCCAAGAAGGACGAAACCGGTCGTGGGCTGTCGAAGAGTTTTCAGCAAACTTGTGAGTAGTTTCCATTCATTCCTGTCCATGATGAACCGAGAAAACCACTTCAAGGTCATGAGTTGCTTGTCAGTTTTCGAACCGAAATCAGGTGGATTAACAGATTGACACTTGGCTACGAAGTGCTTGCATGTCGCGCAAATACGTGGAGCCAATTTACCTAACTAAACTTGTGTTTGTATCGTCGAGCCAAAAATGTTACTTGATCTCGAGGAATCGATCTTTTCTGTGGGAAATTGGCACACCAAAATTGTCGCTCCACGTAATAAAGGGCCGAGCGACGCTCTTCGCAATTTCAATTTGCTTATAGTAGTCCCGTGAAAGCCATTCATTTGTCTGCTCACACTTGCAAGACATCCCTAGCACTGCACTGCAGTGCAGCGTGAAACTGTCGTCGATGAGCTAGTAACTACGTGCAAAGCAGTGCGCATTCTTGCAGCACGTTTTTTTAACCAACAAAGAATTGAAAGACGATTCTGAATACTCAACTCATCAAGCTAACTAGGCTGTAACCTAGATTCCAACCCCGCCAATGACATGCAGGCAAGCTCGGCGATCCGTTGAAGCCTGGGACGAGTCGACATCCCCAGGCGGCCTATCTAGGGGCCAGATGTTTCACAGTAAGCAAGAGCGCACATACGAATTGACCTCAAGTAGGAGGCGCTCGAATCGCCCGTTCATCGATGCCTCACTAGGGGCCAGATGTTTCACAGTAAGCAAAGGTGCACGTACGAATTGACCTCAAGTAGGAGGCACTCGTATCGCCCGTTCTGAGGCTTTTCATCGATGCCTTACCTTTATAAGCCTCGCGAGCGAGCGAGCCCTTCATCAATTTACTCGTTTCTGCAGCAAGAACGCAAAACGCGGTCTGGCCGTGGTGAGTAGGCTTCAGTCAGGCCCTCAAAAATTAGCTGCTCGCCCTTAGGTTGTGTGGTGGATTTAATATCTTGTGCCGTAAGCCCCAGTTACAAGTGCTGTCCATACAACACACAAACCGTTCGGCTAGCTGGGATACAACTTGGACTGCACGCTTAAAACAGGACTTTGTACAGTTATAAAATCACAAAAACTGCATTTCAGACATGAATAAACTACGGACGCTTAGGCGGAGTACTATGAGCCGAGAACAGTTATCGATTTCTGTTGTTTTCGGCGGTACACCAACCTGCCGTCACAAAGCGGACTATTCGGAACATGTATTTCCATAAGGAAGTCTTTGTTATCATAGCGTGGTGTTGATGCTCAGTATGGGATTCTTATGAAGAGCTATTAGCCAGCTGTAGGCTTCCGCCCTACTCCCATGACTCAGGAAGTCTCCCATGTGAATAAAAGACAATGGACACAAGTAGCCCTCCACAGCTTTACAAAAATGTGATCTTTCGAACGCTGCACCTGATAGGTTTGAACGGAAACTAGCCGTAGCGCACTCAAATGACTACATAATGCAAACATGTGTTGTAGTATCACTGCCTTGAAGTGAACTCAAGGCGGTACTAAACGCAATGCACCCGAAAACTCCACATGAACTGAATGTGCAGGCCGTCTGAAATTTCGGGTTTCTAAACTGCTCAAAAGACTACATTGATGGGTGAAAAATGAACACTTCACTGGTGTGCAATAAGGAACAATGCCAGTGTTAGCAATATACCTACTACTACCCTGTTAGCAAGTCTGACATATTTTTCTCATTCTTTCATATCCATATCATATTAATATCCATATTCGTATCATTGAATACATCATTTTGATACATAAGGTAGTGTCTTCTCTGTCCTGAACAATTCAGTGAATTTTTGGCGTCCAAAGATTTTAGTGCTCCATTAACACATGAAAACGGTCACGTTAGTTGTGACGAGTGGGTACACACAAGCGGTCATGTGTATAGATGGAACCTTACCGCCGTACTCGGGGTAAGGGTTTCAATGATTTTGAAGTTTTCAGAGATTTCTTGGTTTGGAACGGTCATAACAGTAATAAGACAGTAAAATTCGACAGACGTGTAACTAACAATGGATCGGAAATAATTTACTATTCCTTATATGATCCCATCAGAATACCAGATTGCTAAAGTTTGGAAGTTATTCAACTCCTACTTACCAGTTATCCAGTTTAAATGTTACATCGATCAACTTTTGATGTCAAGCTCTCGAACACCACCTGGTACCTCCTCACGATTGGATTCTCGAACAAGCTGGTTTCTACCGTTGAGTTAGACCTCTGCCTACCACCCGACCTGACAGCTGTAACCAGAAAATCGTGTTAGCTGCCCATATCTTGTTCGAAATCTGGTCGTGTCTCAGACCACGAGATACGGCAAAACTTACCATGACCTTGAGCCAGCCAATCATTGACTGATAGCGTCCATCGCCCAACCTTACGGCGGTTCACTACGGCAGCTTCATAGAGTGTCTCGTAGCTATTGAAAACAACCACAGTAGTTCCGAACGCCTTGAAACAAACGACGTCTCCAAATGACTTGTGCAGAACATCAAGCTGATGGAAGGCGGAAGGCCCTGCAACAGGGGCAACAGAACACTGCGTCAGGTACGAATCAGATATCAAACGACGTCTCCAAATGACTTGTGCAGAATATCAAGCTGATGGAAGGCGGAAGGCCCTACAACAGGCGCAACAGAACACTGCGTCAGATACGAATCAGATATTGTGGAGGCAAGTTATCGAATAAGGGAACGTAGTATCAGTGGTGAACAAAATTATTAGTCTACAAAATTTAGAACGCTTCCAATTATAAACGAAACGTCCGAAGAATAGTTTCAGTTTGTCTAAATTTATGTTGATGAGACCCCTCATACATCGAGCCATTTGTGTGTTTGAAAACAGTCACTATCCGAAGTTCTATGCAGAATTTGCTATGTTAATGCGGAATCGTCAGAAAACTGATGAAACTTCATTCAACCAACATGGTAAAATATAGAGAAGCGTACGTTGATCCATCCAGTCTGAAATGCTATCAAGTTCTGAAAACGGGCAAATCCCTACTCCTCCCTATGAAGTGTACGCATGATGTGTGGTGTGGCCAACAATCATGTCTAAGCCTGCCGCGGAGAGGCCATGATCCATGGGTTGATTGCATTTACCAGTGCCGAGGAGGCTTATATACACAGGCCAAAAGTAGGACAACCATAAATCTAGAAACCGGTCAAGTGTAGCGCAACACTTATAAACCCATGAACCTTGAAAATCCTCGTCTATTTGACCTAAATAACGAGAACCTATGATATGAGGGCTAAGACAATTTCTGGTTGGTCATACATAAAATACGGTCCACGAACATATGGACACTGTGCAAGTGTCACAAACCATGAACAGTAAATTGGAGCAGAACTTTTTTCATAACGGAAACTGCTCACAAGGTTGCTGAAAATTCTTCGACAGCCCGCGACCGGTTTCGCCCTTCTTGGGGCCTATCAGGTAGGCCCAGTCCCCGAGTTTCAGTCAGCCTTATGTTCTACTTGAACGTTTTGCGCCGTATCAGCAACAATTGCAGTTAGTTCATGTTCCTGATGTGAAGTGGAAGCAACTAAAAAACTGGCCTTATGTTCTACTTGAACTTGTTGCGCCGTATCAGCAACAACTGCAGTTAGTTCATGTTCCTGATGCCGTCTCTTACTTTGGTAAACTGAGCTTTTCTGGAATTGTGTGAGGTGGAAGCAACTAAAAAACTATGCGGTTTTCAGCCGCAAACTGTGCGCAGCCGATTTCCCCTTTCGGTCTGGCCGCGATGACAACAGTCACTAGGGTCTAGTTCGAGCTGTGCCGCTCTGATTTTGCCATGGTTACTATCATTATGTGAACCATGCGAGGTTGGGTGCGAGAGCAGCACACAGCCCAGAACACGCCAGAAAAAACCACTGATATACTAAGGCTGCCAAATTGTTACTAGGCCCAGCGGTAAAAGTAGATCGATCGATCGATTGGGGGTAGTACAAAAACCCACTTACTGGTCCCGGTAAAAAAAAGTAATGGTATCGCTGACCTCGTCTCATTTTCCTCTATTTCTCGCTCACCACCAAGATGACAGTCCGCTACCCCTGTGAGAAACAGTCAATAGTCATTTTTGACCGTTTTCAGCCACGATTCTCCAAACTTTACTAAAAGTTGGTCAACTGTAGTAATGGTGCTCTCAAAGAACGTAAATTGTCCTGTTCAAAAGATTGTAAACCTGACATACTACCTCATATTTTCAACTTAGGTAATAATGTGCTTTGTGGTCAAAATTAAACGAAGACAGTCCAATCAACAGTCCTGAAATGATAGGGATAAAAGTTTGTACACATGTATTGAGCGATTCAGACTGTAAAGATACAGAGTAATTTCTGGTCCCCACATATGGTTTTAACGATGGTAGTACTGAGCTACGTGTAAAAAGCCATGTTCTTTCCGGTGTTAAAATTCGTTAACAAATGAGGTAGGTGTCTTCGGGACAATTTTGAATGACAGTTTTACCAGTTAAACGTTCACAGAAAAATGCACACAACTTGTTGCCGAGCCTACACTCAGAGTGATGTCATCTCTGTTTCGCATAAGTACAGGGAAGCTAACCTCGAAGTCATCACCAAGTGCATAAAGTTGGTTGCCGTGTAAGTGTACTATGACACGTCTCATATCACCGCCGACTTGGTCGTGTTCATTTGGTTTCAGGTCCTGATGTTATGCCTGTAACTGAAAATTCAACCTTCCTGAAATGCGAACTACGGGGCTCGTCAGGCCCCAGCCGCTACATCACTTCTTCGGCTGTTGGAGTGTAGTAACACTAGCCTCTTTCCAGGTCGAGTACCGAGCTCATTCTGGAAACTGTTGCAAGGTTGATTACGCACATCTAGGTCATATTCATGTAGGATATTTGCTGTGTGGACTTCATTTACGTGCCTGTCGTTTTCATGGGAAATACGGAAGGTGGATCCGGCCATCTCACGCGTTGAGTAAAAGGTATTAAAATCTGATGGAGAAGTTCTGGTGTGGAGGAAAGTGTACCATTTTGTTCATGAGGATTGTGATTAGTATTACAAATGACTGGATTGCGCCGAATCATGGGTTTGGGAATAATGATGCTGCTTCCCTCTATACACCCTGGGATAAGCAGAAATTATGACTGCACCAAACTTTATCAAAGGACATTTTCATATACACCCTGGGATAAGCAGAAATTATGAATGCACCAATCTTTATCAAAGGACATTTTCAAATTCCGCATGCATACAAGTGAAAAATTAACGAGTTTTCAAGCTAGATCTATTCCCCATATCTCCGGAAAACGAATATATGGGGAAAAGCAGAATCAGAAGAACAGAGGTGAATAGCTTGCACATGACGGGAGAGTTGGAACTCGTGTCTGTATTATGTAGCTTGTTCAACGAAAAGTGCTCAGAGAATAATTTTTTGGGATAAGCATGGAGACTCTAGCTAGCAAACTCGATCACACTAGTAGTAGGCACTCCGGATCTGGAACCCTATGCTGGTACACATTCGTTTTTAAATAGCCTGAGAGATGTGAACCAGTAAGTGGTTAGCAACGCTCCTCTGGGCAAGCTATCGAATCTAATGCGTCGTTGTTAACTCTCACCTTCTTCGAAAAGAAGTCCCAACCAGCATGCGGCAAGCACTCCATTCTATTACATCTTACGACTTTTATTACATTCGTGTACTTTTTCTGTATTGTACTGTTCATAATCAAATATGCGACAGCTTAAACCATACTACTTTACGAGTACGCAAGGTGCATTTAGGCAACTGAAAATGAACCAACTGAAGTAGAGTATTACATATGTTGATTCCGTGGCATGTAATATATTGATTAGTTTCTTGATGGACCGAGTAAAGGGCACTAATCGGGTTTTACATCCCTTTTAGCTTGAGAAACTGGATTTAAATTTCGGGTACCTTTTCTAGTGGGGCTCTTTCAAGTCGTATGAGGGCGGTAATCTCACACGGGGCGCGGAAAATATTGTGTCAAGTGACCGATGGACGTCCTGTTCCAACAAAAGTGGAACAGGATGCATGTGAGGACTGCCTTCCCATGTCACGGTAATTCACCCATCGTGACGTGGCGCATTTCAACGCCAGACTCTAGAACAGGCGCACTGACAGCAGGTAAATATAAGTCTCAAGCACTTTCAAAGTAACGTCACTCCTTCCTATTTTGAAAAAGGTGCCAGTAAGTGAGAATATGGATACAATGGGACTGAGTCAACAACAAGGCCTCAGATAAGATTTTACCTAATCAATGCAACAAAGAAATGTCTTGATATATTGTCTCACGGAAGGTGTGCTGCATGTCGACTTTGACTGATTCATCTCTTCAGTCGGCTTTGCTTCGTTTGCATATTAAAGTGGACCGTCTCAAGCTCGTATGTGGTTAGACTGACTGTCACCAGAAGGCTAACTCCTCAGATTTCATTTCCCACAGTAAGTAATTTATTTCATATAACCGGACTGACAAGACTGTTCAAATACTTCTTGTTCCCGTTGTCCTCTGTGAAATCAAAGGAGTTTTCATCTTAAATAACTTGGTCAGATTCTACTAGTGAATCAATATAGATGAATTCGTATTATGCCCGGACAGGATCCGAGAACGATGATCTCAAGCAGTGTACTGCGACAGAAAAGAAGATTCACAAATTCTTTTGTAGGAATTGCTGTAACTTCCAAAGGTATGTCCGTTCCAGCACAACTTACGGGTAGATAAGTCGTGAATAGTGAATATCTTCTTTCCATGATTGTTTTGTTCATATGCCTCCTGAGCGGGTGAATTTTGTCAGATACGCATTTTTGGATCATTTCGGTGGATAATCGTTCTGACTTGCTGGGTGGCAACACATCAATGCATCTCATCATTGTATGGGTATATCATTAAGTGTGTGCTCACAAATACTGTTAACGTTGGTTTCGGAAGCGTGCACTTGTCCCTTCCATTGATGATGTCAGGTGACAGCGTTTAAATGTTACTTCGCCCGTTGGCGCTACCAGCGCACAACATCAGAATGGTTGGGGCCAGACCATAGTTTTCAACAGAACTGGTTCAACGGATTAACCGGCCTTAAACTCTGTACACTGCTATGGTTTGTCGGCGTCCACTTACAGTCAAACAACGGAAAAGATAGCTGGCAAAGGAGCAATGACCTACCTGGAAAATTTGGCCATATGGCCTTGGTGAATGAAGGGTAATGAAAGGGTGGATATACGATGAAGGAAACGATGTGAAAAACCCAGTCAGCCTCACTGTGATACTTGGTAGAAACCATTTTAAACTTGATAAAACATCAACGGTTCTTTTTTTGTGTTGTTGCTTCTGAAGCAATATGTGGCGTTTGAACTCGGGCTGTCAAAATGTATTTCACGGACATATCCACCCGACCTTCCAAGCCTCGTTATGAGGAATGTAGCTGTATTGGATCAAACTAGAAAATAAGGTTTCTACCGGATTAATATTGACCGATATTCTGACACTACCAGGTGGATATGATGCAACTTCGAACTGGGTTTCATGGGTTCCTTGGATTAACCGAAGGATCAGACATCACAACGTCACGGACAAAGTGTAAAACATCAAACGCCAGAGAAAAAATGAATAACTTTTGGTTGACTGTGGCCTAATCAGTCCCATCAAGGCAAACACGCTTAAGTACCATAGACGGTATGAGCGGAATCTGCGTAACCCATTAACGTATGAATATACAAATTTTCTAAGTTTGAATTACTGCAGCTGCACTTTTTGTATGAAATCTTGTTGCAAGCACGTCTAGTTCCAGACAGAAAAAGTTAACTTAGAGCACTGACGATCACACTTGGCTGCAGATTCCATCGTGACCCAGCTAAACCGAACCATGTACGCAATAACTGAATCTTTTCCGGGGTGGCAGTAATCGTTGAAATGATGACAAAGGCTGTGTCGAATGCTTGCGGGCGCTCAGTGTCATTAACTCGCAAAGCGCGGTTTGTGTGGGTGAGTATAGTTCGCCAGAATGTGGTGGGTATAAGTTTCAGCTGTTTACTCGATAGTGGCATCCGAATGACGGGACATCAGATGTTATCATGATTGTGTACCGTTTTTCACAGGACATTTGGGAAATATGACTGGTATTTTTCAGTCCTGAGTGAAACTCACTGTCGGTCTGAATTGGTTTATCATCTTCGGATAAGCATGCACTGGTAGTCAATGCACGTTACGGCTTGGCGTACTTTAATTTACGGACGATTATTTGCGGCACTGTCACGCCGTACAGCTTGTGATTTCAAATAGCTGAGCCTCCAGCACAGCAAAGTATACTCATCGTGTGCACCGGTCGATCATTCCAACCCAAGCTTTGCGCCACGCGGCTCATTTGAAATTTTGTTGATGAGGTTATTATCTACCTAATAGGCATGAGCTTAGACAAAGTTTATCCATTCGCTTTCATAAGCTAAAAATACCGGTTCGCATGAACTGAGCTCGGATACTGAGACCACCCAAATGCCCCAATCAAACATTTCATGCTAAGCGTTGTCGTTCTACAGGCTTAAGCTGCAGGATTGTCTTTGGTGACCACTCGCTTACTGGAAAATTCGTATCCATCGACTTGGTATCCGCCACAGGTAGTGCATTCAACCCAGAAGCAGGGGCAGCAGTTCGAAGAACTATACACAAAATGGCACAATATGGTTCTCACTCCAGGTAATACAGGAAGCTGCGGTTTGCTTCCCACTTCATCGATCAGGTGTTCACTACTACTTGGCCTTAAGTGACAAAGATCCGTTGAATAGCATAATGAGAAAGCGGTCTGTGAACTGAGTTTGCGAATATCAGCTGAGGGCAATGATGGACACATGGTTTAAAAGTACAGGTCGTACAGAATAACAACAGTGCGGGTGGTCTTCAACTAGTCAGTCGAACAAAGCAAACGACCATTATTATAGGTTCACATCCCTGTAGAAACATGTAACCTGCTTGTATATGAGTCGCACTTGTAACGGCCTGTGTGCACTTTGTGCTGAATGATTTAGCTACGGACACTCTCCCCATGCAACGTTTGAGGCTGAGCGAAACCCACCGCAGTCCCTGTAGTTGTCACCACGTCTAGTTGTTCTATCCACGTGGTCGATGATGACCATGTTTGGACAACCTGTGTGATGAGTAGAATTTTGCATCCTGTCCTGTGAGATGTTCCCTGTTGAGTTAATTCAGTGGGAAGAAACTGAGACCGAGGGGAATCGATCCCACGATTATTTCTCTTTACACAAGTTCTGATGAGGTCGCTGTATTGAAAAAAGGACTCAAATATAGAACGGTTGTTTGCCTTCGAGGAAGTTCCTTATCTCGTGAGTCAAGCACCTGTAAGCTGGCTGACTGCCTTCAACCATCCGGTTAGTAGTTGTCCTTCTCTGAGGACTGACCTAATTAGTTTCACTCTAGATGGCGACCTGCCTGCTGTGTTTATAAAAATCAGTTTACAGGACCACCCAGATATCGATGTAACTAGAGATGAGCCAAATTTATCTGACCACCTAGGTAAACGGCCTGTCGGAACCAAAAGCGGCTCCAGTACAATCAGTTTCATGATTTGTACAGACTAGAACGTTAAATTATATCGTGATCCGTCGAACGCTTACGTGTGTCATACACGGTGCTCTGGGTGTGCACGCTCCTCGCTTCGGAGCAGATTCTAACCCCCCTACACAGGTATGTCTCACAGTGAGCATAAGTTGCGTGGCATAACAAGTGTTCGAAAGAGAATACCATAACTATAGTATCAGATTAGCACACTTCGCCTGCCGTCACTGATATCGTTAGAACCTTCATTCACTCAGTTGTTTCTAATCCGGTGAATCCTGGAACTTCTGCTTAAAATAACTTGGGACAAAAATGTATTGTGTCACAGCGAGAACAACCTTAACCACTGAAAACTCTGAGTTATCGTGTGTTAAGTCATTATGTCCTTCAGTTGCATCACCCTTATTTGGCACGAATGAAATAGACCTATTGTTATCACAGGTGTTTCCGCTATACAGATGTCCTTCCAGTGTCATTGTGGAGAAATTACACCAGCGTTATTCTGCTGGTGTTTGGTTGAAACATTTAGGGATGGGCCAGCACATAACACTTGTGACTTTTTGAAAAAAAAAACTATTAAACTCTTATACTTTTGGATGATATTTGGTCGGTCTGCGCCTAATTTGTGGTCAAACTCAAGGTTACATGGAATTTCTTCGTAGTCCTTCCGCAGCACTTCTTTGGTTACGGGCCTTCTGGAGAGTAGAAGGACCAGAAAACTGGAAACTGATGTGAATTCCTCGCCCTTATTTGCTGTCCGAAGACCGAAGTAGTGTATGAAAAGTCGAATAATGGTATCGCACTTTCTTGAAAATTTGTGGAATTCGAACTAATTTGCTGCCCATCGGGCTGACTGCTATTCCATCGTTTGATACTGGTTTTCAACGATTCCATAGCTAACGACGTTAGCTAGTTTTTGAGCGAACATATGCAACACAAAAAAAACAAACTTTCTCAAAGACTGCGTAGAATTACGAATGTTTCTTCCATTTTGTCACAGTTGTAATCAAAGTTGGAGATAATCTATTACTCTCATGTGACCGCATATCAATACGATAAACCACTTTCATCTGCTATGTGAAGCGTTCAAACACCCTGTGTACTTGCATGACGATCGTTTTTTTGTAGACCCTCCATCCGATTCGGACTCCCTCTGTTGAAATCTCGCTTTCATGTGTATAGTAGAATGGTGAATGAATGAAAGTGCAGATCCGGAAAGTCCTTCTCATTTATTGGCTCGAAACAACAACAACAACAACAACAACAACAACAACAACAACAACAACAACAACAACAACAACAACAACAACAACAACAACAACAACAACAACAACAACAACAACAACAACAACAACAACAACAACAACAACAACAACAACAACAACAACAACAACAACAACAACAACAACAACAACAACGCAAAATAGGCAAATGTGGGTGACCGTAACACACACTTACGGGCTAATTATCATGGGCTCAGATTACCATGAGAGCATTGCCGACTCATTTTTGTAATACATAACCTAGATGTGCCCACCAAACATGCTTCTCGTGAACGAGTGACGCTAAAACAAAGTGCTAAAACATGCGATGTCTTGGGAACACGTGAACCTAGGTGAATTCAGTGATGTTTTCATTATATGTGTGCCCTTCCAGTATAACAATTTTCGTCATCTTTCACAGACGCAGAACGCATTTTCATGTTCCCATTAAAAATTGAAATGATTTTCTACTACTCTTTGTCATAAAGTAGTGAGACACCCGTTGATTATTTCGTGAACAGCGGAGGCCGTGCGATAATTTTTCCATAAAATAGCAACTGTTGGGGGATCTTGCTCGGGAGGCGTCATTTCTGATAAGTGGCGATATTGTAGGAGTTCAGCTGACACTCTGTGGCCCCTGCTGAATAGCAAGGTCAAAAATAGGTCGAAATGGGTCAAGAAGCCACTAGCTTCATCTGCTCGCTAGGTAGCCATATGGCTTCATCCTGATGAAAAGTGCCTCTTCGAATGAGGGCATGTGGCCAGGTGCTTTGTCCAGTTACGTCAGGTAACCAAAACGTTTCATCGGAGTGATGTATTCAAGAGTCAAGACATCAAATGAAATCATCATACCATTCTCTCCGAAGGTAGATCTACTCGTTGCTTTTATACCCATTGGTGTTGGCTGGATCCATCTATATAAACACTGCTACTTTCTCACGTTCATTGCAGCGTGTGAAGGTCACTCAATCTAACCCTTTTGTTTTTGGCCGTTGATCGTCGAACAGCGTTAGTTTACAGTAAACTGACTTGCATACGACGTCCGGCTCACGCTGGATTAGGACCGGAGGTCCTTGTCAGTCAAGCAGGTAAAATTAGGTCAAGGAGAAAATATAAATTAGATGGCGTCTAGATGAATGGAATTGGACCCAGTGGATAGTTGATGACTGTGTGCGTGCTTTTTTGATAAAGATAGAGTGTTAGTTCATGACAATAATTTAATTTCAATCGGGCTGGTTCCTAATAATGATTATGGTTCCACAAATAAGGTTGGTAGCTTCGCTTTGAAACAGTTACCAATTCGTTATACGGATCCTGAACTCAACTGCACCAAGTTCCGAATGAATTATTTGGATAAGAACAATGAGCCACTGTTTTTTCGATTAGGAGAACAAGGATGGGACAGCATATCTGGCATGTTGAGCCAGCATGCAACAAGTCTTACCCGAGGAAGGGGGATTTTTGAACTAATCTGCAGAGTGGAATCTTCGAAAAACAGTATCTATATTGGGGTTACTATGTCAAACAAAGTAGTGAACTCTAGGCGGTAGTTTCTCTGACAGAAAAAATCTGTGAAGTTCTCAAACTGGTTTGCTCATCTTGTTTCCTTCAGACAGGACAAATAGTTTAAGAAAAGGATTTGTTGCCGGAGACGACAATGAACATTAGATGCATCTTGAAACAGCATTATAAAATGCCGACGAATCTCCTCCAGCATCACTGCGAATTGGCTGCGACTAGTCAAGATTAAACTTGCGGGAGCGCTGGAAGCACTCAGTGCACGAAAAGTGGATGACAACATCTAAGTTTATCAAGCAAGACCGATGAGGTGTAGTTGGAGAGCAACAGAAAGTTACAATATTATCTATATATATATATGCGTATGTAACACGTAATCTTGAGGACGACTTTGAATAATTATCACAAAGACTAGATCTCGGAGTTGGTTTACTCTTAACTGTGGCTCTATCACTGATACTCAGGAAGTGATCTCTTGGTTAAATAAGCAAGATTGCGAGGAAAGTAAACAAGCTTTGAAAATCAAGTAATTAGCGTGACGGGCCTTCACCTTGCCCCTCAGGATATAGGATAGGAGTCGGGTGAATTTGCTCTGTTCACTTAATTTTTTTTCATTTTCAGACTGAACATTTTCGGTCGATTTTTTGATTTTGTAGACAATGCAGTAACGAAACAGTGGTATGGACATCACTGTAAAAGGTCTCAGACAGGGATATCTTTAGGATGACTGCATTATGACTTAAATACCTGCCCCGCGCACCGTAGCGCCAGTCAATAATAGGAAAATACCGGCCACTGCGAAATACTTGTTTGTGTCAACCAAGGTCACATTCTTTGGGGTTTTTGAAATTCAGTGCATTTGAGAACCTAAAGGAGTAGACCAGCATTGTTTTGATGTGCTCTTTTTCATGGTAGACACAAAACACACTCAGGTATTTTGAAAAAAGCTACCACACGAGAGAGCTAACTTTGTTATTCCAGTGTGGTTCTTATTGAATCCCTGTTAGACAGACCACGGTGCACAAGCAAGCGTTCGATCAGAGAGTGGTCTGTCCAAATGAGACCTACTAAGGTTCTTTTTATGGTGACATTATTCAGGAAGCACCATATTGGTCGATTATGGTAAATAAGCGAGCATCTGGGACGTTCAAACGGACAAACATGGATTACACCGATCTCAGACACTCCCAAAGTTTCCGACTATCTTTTAGTCATCATTAGGATTATACGTTTATCTTGATTTTCCGGGTTTTATCAAACCTTTGAGGTGATAAGCAGGGCTGTTTCTACCAGCGGCTTTACAGAAAGTAGGACCAGTTTTGATCCGAGACACACAGAAGCCTTAAAACGACATCCTAATAGTTTCAATCAATAACTGATCCCAAAACGAGGTCACTATGCGCGATAGTGACGAAGTCGATCGACTACTCAAGGCTAAGTGATGTCAAATTAGTAGTCGAATCATGTGAATAAGTCAACTTCATGGATCATTCTCTGTTACGTAGTTAACACCATCATTCAGCTAAAATAACTTCGAATTCGGGAGCTCACCATGCACAAATTAAATTTTTCACGATTTCCCCAAACAATCTATCGGGGATGCACCTACCTCATGAGCCCCAAGAAGGGCGAAACCTGTCGTGGGCTGTCGAAGAATTTTCAGCAGCCGTATGAGTAGTGCAGTAGTAGTCTATTAGTTCGTTTTTCACCTCAAAGGTTCAATTTCCACGTCACTTCTGTTGCTCTTGGTAGATTGCACGCACTTGGAATAGTTACTGGTGGATGAAAACTGCGTTTGAAAGTATGGTTAGGCTTTACTGTTTAGTCATCTTCGGGTAAGCGGCGGTATGCGCAAGAGATTTTTAGAATAGGTAAAATGTGTTAAGAACTCATTTTTAGTTAGCAGCAAGAGGGAGTTCAGTCTTTGGAGCGGGTTCTATGACATGTGGGAGCGGATTTGACAAAATCCATTAGGATCCTGTGAGGACGAGCATCGTTGTTGAACGCTTCGCCTCTCGGGGAAATTTCTAAATCCCAATAAGTGCCTTACAAAAGGCCTCTTACTGCAGTCAAATTTCCTACGACAGAGCCAATCCTGATGTCCGTAAGTTTGATATAAGAGGGTACTTTGTCTTAAGTCAACGTCAAAGCCCATGAGTGGTATGGGCCATCGGTTTGAGCACAGAGCCTGTTGGAACACACCGAGCTGACCTGGATTCGTACTAAAATTGTACGCATAACCGGAAGCTGATTTAAAACATAAGTCAACGTCAAAGCCCATGAGTGGTATGTGCCATCGGTTTGAGCACAGAGCCTGTTGAAACACACCGAGCTGAGCTGGATTCGTACTAAAAATGTATGCATAACCGGAAGCTGATTTAAAACACGTTGTTTGTACCTTATACTCTGGGGTTAGATACCAATGTTAGAACACCGGCTTAGAACGATGTTGGCTGCACAAAGGATCGAATGGAACGCAGAAACATGATTACGAATGTCACTAAAGTGGGTAGAAAGCAGTTTGAGTTTGATGAGAGAACTAATGCTAGAGTAACAATAAAGAGCAGAAACGTATGAAATGGTAAGAGAAGCTTTACTACTTCCGCGCAGATTTTGCTGAAGAGAGTTTATGAAACTTTGGTCCATCGAAAAAAGTTTCCTCATTGACTGTGGGGAATTCTGCTGACGCTCAGACGCTCTGCATGTTCCAACACTAGCAACCCTCAACTATTTCTGGGAACGCGATGGTTTCACCGAAATTTTTTAAAGTTTACTCCTGTCAGTTTGAGATTCGGAGGTTGTATGAATTCCTGTCACATCACGTTTTGAATATGTTGTTCAAATATTATCTTTTTGGCGAGAAAAAAGCAACTTGGTAACTATTAATAACTGTCTGGTTCCTGGTAATCATGTTCCTAGAAGCGTTCAACTTATGAAAGCGAATCGCACTTTGAGTCAATTACTTAGTCCCATTACACAGTCTGTATTCAAATTAAATTTTATCCTACTACCCTTGAAAGCCAGAGTGTGAAAGTAGGCAAGAACCGGGACCAAAACCAGAAACATCTTTGAGGACTTAGAATTACTTGGCGATCTCCCCTATGGTTCAGGCTTTCTGTGGCTTACTTCACTGGTTAACCGAAATAATTGGAAAACAGATAAATTTGGAACAGAGTTCCGAAGAAAGCTACATCCAGGAATATCCTCCACACTTCGTACTAACGGAAAGGGAGAATTTTTGCAAAAATACATTGATTATTTTCTTTTCCATTTGGTAATAAAACGAGGACGTTTTAGATTGTGCTGATAAACTTGAAGAAATGAAACATTCTCTACAATATCTCGACTATTGTACAAACTTAGACATGAGGCAGCACATTCAGTTGAAGAATAGCATGGACGAAAGATCTGGCTGGAATTTGTTTGAGTCTTCTGTTAAAATCGGATCGGTGTGCGAATGTATATTTTGCAAAAAATGCTTCATTATGATCAGCTTGTCTCATGAAAGGCAAAACGTAATTCATTCGAGCACTGGTCCGGAGCGGCGTAAACCACATCGTGTCCTTATACTGGACCAAAAAGAAGCTCCCCAAAACTACAAATAAGGCCTTTTTCAGTGATTTCGCATCCTGTGGCCACTTGATGTTACGTCATTGATTTC